TTTTTTTGTGCATAAGGCCCACTCGATTTTTATTGTTCAAAACAGAAAAGTTTTTCGAAATTTAGTTAATTTAGGATAGCAACTTAGAATTTTACACTAGTCTATACAAACCTTATACCTATTGATAGAAAGCTTGTCAAAAGATCTTTTGATTGGTACAATAATAAATAGAGGGTGCCATTTGAAAAAAATGAGTTTTTGTTTTGAATAGTTTTTTCCCCAGGTACTTACAGAACTGCTCCCCAAGAAAACGTAAACTTTCCCTTCATTAAACTTCCCCGTGGTGTGAAATGGGGCTCCCACGACCAAGTCATCCAACCCATCACCATTTATATCCCCTGCAGTCAGGGAACCACCAAAATATTCCCCAAATTGTTGACCAAACTTGGTTTCTTTCACATCTAACGGTCTCTCTGGATGTTCTTCAAATTTGTAAATCAAAACTTGTCCTTTGTAGTCCGATCTGGGGGCAGCTGTGACGTACAAAAGTTGTGATTTCCGGTAAAAATAACCGGAAGTTGTGGCGTAACCGAGCAAATCGTAAGCCACAGTCTGGGAAGTTAACATAGCGTTTGCAACATTCAAGGTACTAAATTCGTCAATGTCGGCATATCTTTGTTTTTTATTTTGCAAACGACTGGCTACTGGAGATTGGTGGTCACTGTCTTTGTATAAAATTGAAGTTCCGTCCCAGTTGAAGACACCCGGAGCCCCCAGAACCAAATGTTTTTCTTTCTAAAGAAAGAGGACAAATCGAGTTAAAGGTGGTGGTGTTTTACTAGCAATAAAGTCTCTTTATGCTGTGGAATTAGTTGATCTTCATATTTTTCAGAGTTTAGAATTAATAGATATTTTGAGTGTTAAAGTTGAATAATAATTTATTCTTTGTTTTTGTAATCTACAGGGTGTTCCGTGTAAACTCCACATTAGAAGTATTGAAAGTTCGAATAATCGTATTTATTTGAAAATTGGTACATAGTCATAAACCAATAAGTCCTCCTAAATGAAAATATTTTCAAGATGGCGGCACTTCCGCTTATACCAGAAGCCGATCTCAACTTTCTTATTTTGATTAAAAAGGTATATTTTTTACTGCGTTTTTGGATTATTCTGGTTATTTTAAGGGAGTTTTCATCAGCTTTCCCTATACCTAAATTTAGCCGTTTTTGAAATATTTGGAGTATTTCAAAAATTTTTGGATTTGCACCTTACACTTTAAAAATCGGTAACTCTGCGATTTTTTAAGATTTTGAATTCGTTTTTTTGGCGTTTGAAAGAGAAAGCTTAAATCCTTTTTCTGGTGTTTTCAAATTTTGAAAAAAAAACATCCCAAAATTTTAAGGTTACTTTTGTAATGATTCAAATACCCAACTCAATTTTTTCAAATGAAATATACCAATTTTTATTTTACTAAATAGAAGAGAATTTAATTGTGCATTGATCTGTATTAACATTCCCTATGCCTAAATTTAATAATTTTCAAGTTATAGACTTTTTGTTAAGACTACAGAAAATTTATTACTAGCCACACCCGTTTTCACATAGTTGCAAATTTAATTATTATCGATGAGTTCCACCAGTGAGAAATATTTATTTTTGTTTAATGAACGACATCATAATTTTGTTACACTCTCCATAAATACAAAATAAATGAATTAAATCTAAGTTTGAGTAGCTTCGACTCTCCATATTTTGGCACTATTTGTCAAATAATAAGTCACTGTCGACGTTTATTGAGAAACAATTTTGACATTTTTGAAAACAAACTATACGAAAACGGATATGGCTAGTAATAGATTTTCGGCAGTCTTAACAAAAAGTCACCAAAACATAAAAATTATTAAATTTTGGTATAGGGAATGTTAATATAGATCGATGCAGAATTAAATTCTCTTCCATTTAGTAAAATAAAAATTGGGATATTTCATTTGAAAAAAATGAGTTATGGGTATTTGAATTATTGCAAAAGTAACCTTAAAATTTTGGGGTTTGTTAATTTTTCTTCAAAATTTGAAAATAGCTGAAGAAAGATCTAAGCTTTCCCTTTAAAACGCCAATAAACGAATTCAAAATTTTAAGAAATGGCATAGTTACCGATTTTTAAAGTGGAAGGTGCAGATCCCAAAATTTTTGAAAAACTCCAAATATTTCAAAAACGGCTAAATTTAGGTATAAGGAAATCTAATAAAAAATCACTTAAAATAACCCGATTAATCCAAAAACGCAGTAAAAAATATAGCTTTCCATTAAAAATAAGAAAGTGCTGCCATTTTGAAAATATTTTCATTTAGGAGGACTTGATGGATTATGGCTATGTACTAATTTTCAAATAAATACGATTATTCAAACTCCCAATACTTCTAATGTGAAGTTTAGACGGAACACCCTGTATACACGTCCCAGGCTATATTACGAGAAACCAACAATACTTTGTTACTAGGAAATGTCGAAGTAACATTGCAAAAAAGTCTCCAATGTATTAGTCTAGTCAGTAGGGAGTTTTGCCCTATAAAAGGTGGGGTAGTAGTAATTTTTTAATATGTTGTTAAAGTCTAGGCCTTGGCAAAAAAAACAAGTTTTCGACCTTGAGGGAGGACCGCTCAAGCCGCCATCTTGGATGAAAGGTACAAAAAATAGGTTTTTCCAAAATAACTCCACAGCGGTTGATTCTACGGCAAAAGTGTTCAGATAAAAGTTAAAGAAGACAAAATTCCTCACATTTTTTGTATCAATATTTTTTTGTAAGCCTAGTGTGTAACGAGTTACAACGGCGGAAATATGAACATTTTTTCCAAAAAATAGTAAAACCCCCCATTTTCGACGGTGAATTTTGTAAGAACTAATTACACTTGTTTTTAATGTTTTTTTCCGCACCACAATTATTATACAGCGATATCTATTTTAAATTACACTGATTTTTCTTGTTACATATTATTATTATTCATAAATAAGGCTCGGATTATATGCAAAATGCATATTTGTTATTAAGAGGTATATCAACAAAATTATAAGTTTTCTATGCATATCTGATGTTTTTTAATTAAAATAGGAGAACTTCGTGCATATTTTAGGAAATATTGCAAATCACAAATTTCTAATTAAAAATTTCAGTTCAAGTTAAAAATTAGACAATATAAGAAAAAAAATCCGATTACAAAATATGTATTGTGGTAGATTTCCATTAAAAAAAATGTTAGTATGTTTATCTCGTAAGTATAAACAATTAATTGATATTCAATTTTTTTTTGGAATAGCAATTTTATAGCCATTATAATATTTTTTTATAGCCATTATTATATTTTTTTTTGCCAAGAAAATTGATAGTTTCGCCAGAAAATAATAAGCGTTTTCAGACTTCTGGACCACTCTGTATATTTGGTCAAATGGTTCCAAGGTTATTACAAAAAAAAAACAAATTTCCATACCCACGTCCCGAAGGCTGTAAATTCTTATCAGTAGAGATAGGACACGAGTTATTATTTAAATTAACACCGTTTTATAGGTCATTTTTGAGGTTCAAATATTGCTTCATATTTATGAATAATATAACAATAATGTAACAAGAAAAATCAGTGTAATTTGAAATAGATATCGCTGTATAAAAAACAAGTGTAATTTGTTCTTACGAAAATGGGGAGGTTTTGCTATTTTTCTGGGAAAAATGTTTATCTTTCCGTCGCTGTAACTCGTTACACATTAGACTTACAAAAAAAATGTTGATACAGAAAATGTGAGGAATTTTGTCTTCTTTAACTTTTATCTGAACACTTTTGTCCGCTGCGGAGTTATTTTGGAAAAATCGATTTTTCTCACCTTTCATCCAAGATGGCGGCGCGAGCGGTCCTCCCTCAAGATCGAAAACTTGTATTTTTTGTCAAGGCTGATATCTTAACAATATATTAAAAAATTACTACTACCACACCTTTTGTAGGGCAAAGGCCTTTTTTGGCCCCTACTGACTGGACTATACAGGGTATTTGTGGATTGCGAGCAAATATTTTAACCACTAAGAGAATTTGTTATGAAAAGTCGAATTGAAGACCAAACAAATTCCGTATCCAAATTTTATTTTTGCAATTTCCCCTCTATGATTTTCACGAGCCGTTCAGTGTGTCTGTCCTTGTTAGTTAGAAGTAAAAATTTCAATGAAAACAAATTGCATTGAATGTTAACCGTGAAAGTTTTTATACAGAAAAAAGGAAACTTTTTTGTCCAAAAAAATTATCACTTGTTTACACGTGTCAGTTTAGTTAGTCGTTAATGCGCTTTCGGGTGAATTGTGCACATCGATTTGAAATCAAATTGTCAATCAAGTCATTATGACCAACTACTTAAACGCCAAATTAACTAGTGTGCGGACATCACACTTCCAAGACCGATTTTCACTAAATGTTTGGGCAGCGATCATTGAAGATCACCAAATTGGACCCCACATATTACCTCAACGTTTAACTAGTGCCGTTTATCTGGATTTTTTGGAAAATGTGTTGTCCGATCTGGTGAAGGACGTGCCCTTGGCGACACATGTGGTATTTACAAGTGAAGCTCTATCAGATTATGCCAAAGTCGTCACCAATGAGTTGAACAATCATTTTCCCTAGAGATTGGTCGCCAATGACCACCGCGGTCACCAGATTTAAATACGTGTGTTTTTTTGGGGGTTCACATGAAACAATTATTAGTGAATTAGTGTACGCAGTTGAAATTTATACCTTCAAAGGGCTGTGTGTGCGAACACGAGCTTCCCTAGCCCGAAGAGTACAAGAAGTGTGCATTGCCAACGAATGACCATATTTCGAGCAATTTTTTATAATAGCAAGTATTGACCCACTAACGTTGACACTGATCTACCCTAATGTAGCGATAATTTTTTGTCTTTACGCTGTTTACGTTCCAAAGTTTTTTCTTATGAATGATTGTAAACATCGTATTAAGACAGGCGGGGACGGGTTTTCAGCCTCAATTTATTTTTAATTTTAACTCAGAAATGACGTGCTTTCGACAAAAATTGGAATAACGAAAGGTGTTTCTTTTGACGAGTCCTATTAGTGGTTACAATATTTGCTCGCAATCCTCAAACACCCTGTATGTAATGTCACGTTATTTTAATCTAATTTCGGCAGAAATTGATATAAATAATTGCACCATTACCTAAGGAGTTATTAGAGAAAATAAGAAATGTTTTGTAAACTTAACACACATAATTAAGTATCTATCAAAATAAAATTGTCCTGTAATTGGATGTACATCTGTAGGACAATAAACATTATTATTATTATTATTATTATTAAATAGAAATATGACAAAACTAGAGAGAAAGTGATTCATTAGTACATACCACCGGCATATGAGCGGATATTCCGGCCCCTCCCTGTGCGTAATTGTACACAGCACCTCCGGGAGATGAGTAAACAGCATGATCTGAAAAATTACTAGTCTTTACCTTGCGACTTTTCTATGAAAATTTCGTCACTTTTAATTTTTTACATAAAACAGTGTAACCAAAAAAAAATTGAAGCACGTTTCGGAATAGTTTATTTCTTTATCGGGCCGTCAATTGGACGGGCTTTCTGGTGTGACTCCTAATCAAGGAATAAACCATTCCGAAATTTTGTGTGAAAAAAAAAATTACCGGGTTCAATCAGTGGTAATAATTTTTGTGTCGTATTGTCATTCGTGTGAAACCAGTAACAAGCCCCTTCCATTTGAAAATCATCATTCTTGCTGTTCTTCTTCTTTATTTTGATCCAACGAGGGGCACAGACCTGAAATTTCTTCTCAAATTGGGGGTTTTCAGCTGAAATTGGATACATACAACGACGCGACCAAATGTGTAACTTATGTCCATTGATCCCCCGATCCAAGCACCATCTAATTTTTCCTCATAGCCTCGAATAGATGCAGGATAATCTATTTATTGATTTATGTTTAAAAAAAAATAAAACTTGTTGAAAATCATTACCAGTGAAATTAAAAATGTTACATTTTTCGCCGATACCACACTTGAAACAAGCTCCCGGATTTTTGTAAGAATTGAAGGGATTGTTGGCTCTGGGGGCACCTACTAAAAGCCTTTTTATGTGTTAAAGTTAGCGTGTAAATTCATAAGCTACTTACCAAGGAGGATATCTTTTACTTCCAGGGTATAAAATGATTGAATATCCGAAATAGCTTGACTTTTCTGAATTTGAAAATAAAGGATCTTGGTACACAATCGGAAAATTTGTATCAATATTGAAACCATTATTGCAAATGATGATTGAAAAAAGAAAAAGTATAATTGGTGTCATATTCAGGTCTTGTCTGCATCACGAAAACTTTTAAAGTAGTCACTTTGAATTTAGATAAAGTTACCGCAATATCCTATCAGATAAGAAGTTTTTGATGGTATAATAGCAGCATAAGAAAGGTGTGTCTGATTGTTAAAAAAAAATATCATGATTTACTTTTATACTGGGTGTGCCAAAACACTCAACTCAAGATTTTCGGGAAGAGTGTTATTTGTTATCGCTATTAAAAACTGATAAATAATGACTAGAAAAAAGAATATATTAATTGCGTCTCTGGGTGAAACTAAAGCTTTAATTAGTTCCGGGATTAATGGAATGTTAAAAAAATAAAATGTTACGAATTTTGTCCTGTTTTTAAAGCACATTATATTAAAAAAGATGGAATTTGATTTTTAATTTAAATACATGTACTTCTAATATACAGGGTCGCTAAAAAGGATGGACACAGTTAAATATTATAAAAACTATTCATCAAAACTTACTGAAATTTGGTTTGTTTAAAAGTATTTAAATTTGATCGTCTCAGATTTTATCAAATGTCCATCTCTATTTGCTCTGTGGATACAAGACTAACTTAATTTTTTTTAATAGGAAGAAGGGTCAAATTTAATATTTTTAAAAAATATTTTTTTTGAGTTCTGAGATGTTACAATCAAAATTTAAAAAAAATATATGGAGTTAATAAAATTTAGAAAAATGTAAAATTTTGGTTAGCCTTGGAAATTATCTATCGTTAGCTCTTTGCCGCCTGAACTTTGACCAAAAAATAAGTAAAGGTTAATATTAATTGTTAAAATAACATTTAATTTAACTGAAAAAGAACATATTTTAATTAAAAAAAAGCTTAAACACAAAATACATAATTTTAATGCTATACAAAAGATGTTCAAACGATTTCCATTGACTTGAGAATTTCTATACGCTCAGTTTCACTTAAATGTACCATTGTTAAACTAATTATTGCACACAAATTTAATTTTTGGCTAATATGCAAGTGACAGATCGCTAATAACAGTATTTTCAAAGCTAACTTAGTTTTACTTTTCCAGAATTTTTATTTATAAAAATTTTTATTAATAAAAATAAAGGTGGGCATATGAAACATCACTGAATTCAGAAATAAATGCTCTTTTAAAAATTATTAAATGTGACTCTTCGTGCGATTAAAAAAATCAAGTTAGCCTTGTATTTTCAAAATAAATGATGGTAGAAAATTAAAAAAGAATGATAGAATTTAAACACTTCTGTTTCCCAAATTTCAACGTGCTCTGCTAAATTGTTCTGAAAATATTTAGCTGTATCCATACTTTCTCTCCTGTATCCTGTATGTAATCTTAAAAAAGAAATTATCAAAAAAAATTTCGAAGTTATGATGGTTTGAATTTTGCACTTTGACTCTATTTATTTCTGTTGGAAAAATAATTTTCCAAGTTTTTTTGCTATAGGCTATTAAAAGAGGAAACAAAGAAGTTGTACTCTGTTCAATGTTAATTGTGGCTTTTATTAACAAAATTTTTGTACTTTTACTAAATAATTATAAAAAAACATATACAAGATCATCAGTATCATTAAATAAACATAAAAAAATGTCAAATGTCAAAAAATAAATGTCAAAATTTTTTGACAGAATTTTTTAAACATTTTTTTCTTTCTCTGGGGCGCGAGTTCATGCGCACCCTGTATTTGTGATAAGAATTCCGATTTTTTTATACATTGTTTTTTAAAATCAGTAGGATATTGTTCAGGTGAATGAAAAGAAAAACGAATCTTGCGAATTAGAAGGTCCATTTTTTTAAGTATTTTTGTATTAGAATATTTTTATCATTATCAATATTGGCACATCTACAAATTTTGATTTTTTGATGAGTTTTAGTTCTTTTAATAATATATTATAAAATATAATTATTCCTCCTTGTGTTATGGAACAATTATTATTTAGTGTCCAACATGAGAACATTAAAAAATAATGAGAACTGAAGAAGTTAACAAAATAAGTTTGAATTTCCAAATTTTTTCAAAGTTTTCTCCAACTTCCCACTGAGTTTTAACCTCTCTTTCGCACATCTTTATTTGCTCCGATTTTTCAATTTTAAGGCTCGGCAACCCTCATTCATGAACGTTTTTTCGGAGGCAACCTTATACCACCGTGTTCACAATAAAATTATCTTTATTTTCATATATAATTTATTGCGCAAGCAGATCGGTGCAAATTACTACATCGACTCACCTGTTCATACCTGGCAACCCAATAGTAGTGAACAGAAAAAGGTAGGCAACCCTATTTTTTCATACTTTCGATTGGTATTTAATTTCTCTGGTAAGCAAGTAGGTGAAGTAATAAAAAATTATTAATTTTTGTATTTTCAATAAATCATATCCTTGAACATATTTTTTTAGGCAACCCATTCACGATACATTCCTTTGCATATTAAATTTGATAAAAAATAAGTTTCATCCGGTAAGCAGATGGGTGAAGGTCGACCCTAATTCGTATCCTCTACTATAAGTTTGAGTAGATTTGATTCTCCATATTTTGCCACTATTTGTCAAATAATGAGTCACTGGCGACATTTATTGAGAAACAATTTTTTGTCAAACTGTACCCTAAAAATGCATAAAACGACTGCTACTTACCTTTGTTAGAATTTTAATTTTTAGTGTAACAAACTCAATTTAAAAATAACTTCCTTATAATTATTTTATTATCATACTTTTTTAGTATACATGATGAAAGAAAGTACATAAAATTGACGTTCTCACAAAAAATCAACACGATATTTCTATAAAATGACACTGTAAACAGAATCAATAAAATCGAACTATGACTACAATTTTATTTATAAGGTAGAATAATAAAAATGAATGAAAATAAAGATAAATAGATTTCCATAAGTCTTTCCTCAATAATTGGATCCTTAAAAGAATTTTCCTTGCCCAACAAATATAAATTTCAACTCTGTAAAACCCTAGTGATTTCAATAGCCTGTAACTGAAAGAGTTCAAAATATTGCATTGAAATTAGTTGTTGAATAGTATCACAGAAAGTATCACAGTTTCCCTCGCACACAACTGCCATAAAATTGAGGAAAGAATTACACCGATTCGAGAAAATAAAATCCACCTAACTAAACTTAGTTCGAATCCGATTCGCCTCCAATTTGTTTCCTTATATTAATCCTCGCTTTACTGACGCGCTTTTTGAACTTTTCATAGTTGAACTCATCCTCTGAATCGCGTTCGTTATTGTACAAATCATTACTAGAACACTCTTGGTGATTTCTCGAGCCCCGGATCGGGTAGGGGCTGGTGCTCGAACACGGTCCCGTCCCGCACCCGCTGTCCGACGCGCTCACCCTTCGCTTCTTCACGGGGGTGCGATAATCGAACTCGGAGTAATCAGAGTCACTCTCCGTCTCGTAGGCGGCAAACGCGCCACGCACACTGCACGCGGGGGGCCCGTTAGACGTCGACGCCTCCTCGGCCCCCTCGTTTCGCACCGTCACCACGTTGGCGCTGCTCATCTCCAGCACGTTTATGTACATGTCGTGGGTGCCGTTCAATGGCGTCGGCAGAATGTTCACGAAGTTGTTCTCTTCGGAGTTGCCGTTTTCTGTACAGTTGTTAGGGGGGACATCCTCGTCCGAGTCCTGTTCTATCACTCGAAACACCGAGTTGCTCGAACTGGTGATTCCCGTGCTGGTGCTGGGGGCGTCGAAAGAATTGTTTGAGGCGCCACTGTCGCAAGTCTCACGCAGGCTTTGCCGTGTTCGGTATTTGCGAAGTTTGGTCCGTTCCGGGACGAATTTGTGCTTGTGGTCCTTCTCCGAGTGGCGACTCGACAGTGGGGATTTTTTCGTAGAGCCGTTCTTCTTCAATTTTGAGGTTTTCGATTTTTGCGAGTTTTTCTTCTTGCGGTTCTTCTCCTTCAAGTGATATCTAAAGAGAGATTTTTGTTTTATTTATTTTTTTATATTTGTCAAGAGGAAGTAAAGGGTGTGATCAGTAATACCAACCGTAAAACTTGACTTGAAGATTTATCATGTGCCATTCTAGCGAGACGACTTCGCTTCTTTGCTATCAATTGAGCAATCCTATTGGACTTGTGTTTCTTTGTATCCTCTGATGATACTTTGCCATTGCAAAACATTTCATTCAAAAGACTTTGAACATTCTAAAAAAAATTAAAATGTAGACTCATAATAATTAAGGAAATTTATACAAAATTTTCTCTACAAATTACAATAACAAAATAATAGTATTCATTCATGTACATGTTTTTAAGTGTTAAATCACAAAATTGTAATCCATATTCTCGAAAAATATGAAAAAAATTTATTTATTAATCTTCGTAATACCGTGCGATCAAAAAAAAATTAAATAAATTAGAGTAGGCGGTGATTAAAGTCCTTCCGATGGCAATCTTGATTTTTGACATCAAATGTCTGCGTAAACTTTGACAAGTTTGCGTTTTATTCCTTTTGAGTGAAATAATGTTCACTTTAGAGTAGAAATTTTTTATTGCAGTACAAGACGAAAACGGTGAATGGTCATTTTCATTTTTAGTTTGTGTGGAAAATTTCCAGCACAGATTCCCAGCCAATGTGTTGCCAACTGTAGAATTTAATCGACGTCTACTCTAATTTTTTTTTTTATTGCACAGTACTATACACATTCAAGTGATAATAATTTTTTTTAGATATTTAAATTAGACTCTATTCGACTGTTTACTACGTCTGTTTCCAAGACAGGAAGTTGTATTTACTCATTGCTATGCCAAACTCGTCGGTAAGTATTTTGTTTATTATTGCTCAATCGGTAAGCATTCAAAAACGTCGCCAGATATTTTGGCGTTTTAAAACAATTTTTACATATTTCATTAAAAAAACGAATAAAAATCAATCGCTCTTATACTATACAGGATGTTCGTTTTTCGAGCTCCACCATGAAGATCTCAGTTATTATATAAGAGATACGAGGTCTGTTAAATTAGGGCAAAGTTGAGCATTTTTATGCTGAACAATAATCTGAAAGAAAATTTAATGTGTCATTTTTAGTTTTTGAATTATTAGAAAAAACGGAAATTTGTAATTTTCGTTTTTATTGTTTCAAGCGAAAACTAAAAGACCTAGACGTTTTTAACTAGGACGTTCTTAAAGCATTTTCTTACAAAGAATCTAAATCTGTCATCGTATTTTCCAAGGCGCTCTTGATATCAGAGTTACAACACTCAACTTTGGATTTTCTTATGGACGCCATATTTGATTTCTGTATGTTTGAAAAGTCTTTTTGCTCCTGATTACAACGATGTATCACACGATGTGATCAAATTTTACATGCTGATCAAAATTAAGAATAAGTGTTTTTGCGAAGAATGCTTTGGAAAAAATGCTACCAATTTTAATTAACAAACTAAATTTTATTTTTTTAAATTGGAAGTGGAAATTCAATTTTTAGTTTAGTGTTTCCATGTGTTGTGTGCGTCAAAACAGTACTACTAGACAATAACAATCTTCTTGGTTGATTTTGATTGTATTAATAAAGAATACAAAAATAGTATACAAGCACATATTACAGTTTCTCATTGTGATACTCGTGCATTATAATACTATAACTAACCGTATCACAATGAGAGCGTTTTTAAGTTGTAACATTTGTTTTTTTAATATACTATTTTCGAATTGATGATAAAAATTTATTTTAAAAAATAGGAGTATCCCAGCAAAAGTTTACCAGTAAATATTTGTTACTCATTATAATCATTAATATCTACTTTAGAGTCTACCAACAAATTTTAAAAACGATCAAAAAATAAACTAAAAAAAATTTCCACGATGACTATCTTAAAGTCTACATAGATCACGCATTACTACAAAAGTTAATATTTTCATTGTTAAAGCAAAACAAAAATGAAAGATGAAGTTTCTGTGTGAAACCAATAACTTGTATTAACCAACAAATTGTATTAAATTTTTATTGTAATGAACTTAGTTTTTTTTCTACTCCTACATCCAACACACGGATTATCGTATATGTTTCCATGACGATAAGTAATATATGACTAATATGCTTATTAGTTACGTTGCTAATAGCAACTGTCGTATTAGTCATGGGCTGAAGTTAGCTTTTTGTCATTTCATTTAATTTTTAATTTAAGTAAATTTTTTGTCGTGGTCGTAGAAGAAGTATAGTATGTAACACGTGCATAAACTTCTTTGGACATTAGCTGCGCTTCGCTCGTGCCTAATATATACAGTATGATGAAAAAAAGGCGCCCGTGTTAACCCATACGTTATAAGTGATCTTTTATTAAAGACGAATTTGAAGACCAAAATTGGATTTGTGTTCTTATCAGTAAGATATAGACTTTCCTTTTTAGAAAAGAGAAATCTACCGGGTGAATATAAAGTATGGAACCAAGCGGTTTTATTTTTAAACATTTGCTTCCAGAAAATAATAATTAATATAAATTAAAGTAATATAAAAAATGTGATCGTATTTTCAGAACGAAATTTTGTTTTGTTTTTGAGTTATACGATATTTTTTTGTCAAAATTGCAATTTATGTGAAAAAATTTTNAAAATTGCAATTTATGTGAAAAAATTTAATATAAAGCAGATAGTTGTAATCCTTAGAGTATAGCTTTTATGAGAAAAATGATTTTATAGTGGGTTACCATTTAATTTTTTTTTTTTTTTGTAGAACTCAAAAACAAAAAGAAATTTCGAAAAATTTTATTCTTGTTAAATCATCACATTTTTATACTACTTTATCACTTATCAATTAGTTTTTTCAAAAAATAAATAGTTTAAGCAAAAAACGTTTGGTTCCATACTTTTTATTCACCTGGTATATAATTAACAGTTTTAAAATAATTTCATTGTTAAAGTCTAGATTTGGATACAGTTGACGGTGTTCTTAAAAAAAATGTGTAAAAAGTTTATTGAAATAAACTTTATTGAAGATGTTAGGATACCATTTCTTGGATCCAAAGAAAATTTATCAATGTTGCAACATTGCAAATATCCTAGGATACAGAAAATGTCCAAGTAATATTCAATTATTGGAAATGGTAGCAACAAAAAAATCAATTTTCAATGTTGTTTGTTTTGTGAAATTTGAACGATTAAAGTCAAAAAGTCAAAGATTAAAAAAATTAATTGAAATCATTAGACAGACACCTTTTGGTCGTATCGTATTGGAATAATAAAATTATGTAAACTTTACAGTTTTTTATTTTATGCGGGTAACAATATCTATCAGTATTGGTTTCCTATATACGAAAAATACCTGAGTGAAATAGTTTTTTAGTAAAAGAAAATTGTGCAATATTGCCGCTTTGTGCGGTTAGACAAACTGTTTGTTTAAATTTGAAAAAGAATATATTTAGACTATTTTTGGAATGATGGTCACAATGTTTCAATAAAAAAGGACGCGCCTGTTTCAATCGTGGGCGCCTTTTTTTCATCGCCCTGTATATACTTCTTTTTATATTAATGTGCATCAAGTAGGTTGTAGGTCTAAATGAATCTTTACTTTAAAGACCGATTTACACAAAAAGTAATTAATGTCATTCAGAACAAATTTATAATCACATCAATAATGACAAAAATCTTTGTTTGTTGCGGAATTAAAATTTCGGGCAGTATTGTCATTTTCATAATGTACACTCTAACCAACCTTTACATTAATAACATCATTTTTTACTATTGTCATGTTTATATCATTTTGCCTTACCTATTTACTTTCAAAAATAGCCCCACTGACAGAAAAGTCAGTCGTGATTACAGTAGGTTGTTTACGGTGAACTTTTTGAAGTGACAAAAAAATTCTGCCCAAAATTTATTTTATTTAAAAAAATAATTTTTAAGTAAGATTGAGTTTAGAATTGTTTGAATTTTAACATGGTTGCCACCTTAAATTGATCCCTTTCGACGACTATTCGATGCACATTAATATGAAAACTATTATAACTCATGTCTAAAGTGGCGTTTATAGCACTAGTTACACAATATACTATTTTAACGAATTTTTGAAAAGAATGATTTCAATTCAAATTATCGGCCCAATAATTTACAGAAACCGATAAAATCTTAAATCCACCACCAATATTATGTCATAACAGCACATCTGCACCTGTTGACATTCATTACAGCCTTGGTATGTTAATAGATATAAAAAAAAAAACTAGAAATTCATATGAACAAACGAATCAGAAAATGCTATGTCATTTTCATTGATTCCCCTTTTACTTACCCTTTCGTGTCCATCGCTATCACTATCTGAAAAATCGGAATTCTCTGAAGGAGATTCCCAGCCTTCGATCTCTCTTTGAATCAACGAATCAAAAAATGCCAACATTTTCGAATCTTCCTGAGTCGACTGATCACTGTAATCGTGTGAAATTCTCTCGCCACTGCGTCCAACCAAATAAACGTAATCTTCATGCGTGTAAACCGAACGAAAAACGTCGGTGTGTTCTTTTTGCAGTGAACCTTTCCAAGTCCCTATTGGTAAAGAACTCCACAACTGAAACACTTTACATAAAAAAAAAACACAAAAAACTTCGTGGTATAATCCGGTACTTTGATCATCTTTTCAACACCTGACGACGCTATCAGATTATTTTCTTTGTTATATCTCACTTGATTTACAATTGATCTGTGTCCTCGGAGAACCAAATGACTTTTGCCCCACTCAACAGCTTAGAAAATAATAATACAAGTAAAAATGTGTTTGTTTCAGTCAAAATAACTTACTGTCATTTTGTGGCATTCGCCACATGTATAAATTAAAATCATCAGAACCACTTAAAACATATTCGTCCCCATCACCGGCAAAACAACACGTTTTCATGGTACACGAATTGTAATATTGAGGGTGGTAGAACTGACAAATGGCGTTTTCTTTCTGAGTTGCGTAAAGTACCGGAGGTAGCCTTCGTCTCAATGCTAAAACTCTACTGCCATCTGAATTAAAACAAGCACTTATACCACTAATAGGGCCCGCAGTTGCGTCGTAATGTATAAGCAACCTATCACAAAAATTAAAATTAATTTTTCCCCTAACAATTTAAAAAATGTACTCTTTTGGTTTCCGACAGTCCCACAAAGCAATTCCTTCTTCGGAATTTGCCGTCGCCAACCATCTGGGATTGATGGGATTGAACATCACAGAATGAAAACCAGTCTTTTGTTTTGCCAAACAAAGTGCATCTACTTAAAAGAAACACATTCAACCCCCTTATTTTACCCCCAATGTGATGAATTACCAGAATTCGGTGATTCCCTAACATCGAACAATAAAATCCTCCCGTCATCTCCAGCAGTAGCTAAAACGTTATCGTTTTGGGGGTTTACGCTTAGTCCGTATACAGGTTTTCGGTGCATTAATTTCCCGACAAAGTTTCCTCTGAAAAAAGTTGTTAGAAATTTAAGTTAGCGATGATTATCTCTTACGTTATAGCGTCATGAATGAAAACTTGATCGTCGTTACCTCCCGAAAAAATCTTCGTGTTGCCTGAATTGAACGCAAGACAAAAAATATTGCTGTTGTGATTCGTTTCCATTTCGACGGGGGATCCTTTGCCGTACATTGCTGGAGGAATTGACCAAAGCAAGACTCTTCGGTCATCGCCACCTGCACGAAAAATGAATTAATTAATTTAGGACTGTATTGTGTTCTTAGAAATGACAAATTAAGAAAAATTTTTCATAAAAATGGCTCTTGTATGACGTGAATTCCTCTGCGATAACACGAAAATCGTGGGAACGCCGTTAATTTTGAGAAGCACTGTACATGCAACATGTTCATCGGGTATTGTCACTTGAACTCTGTTCTGTTTATTATAGAAAAAATTTCGCTAGTGTTTATTTATTTACATAGAAAAAGATAATTTAATTTATCAAAATCTGGCACGTTATAAGTGGTAACTTTAAATCTGACCTCTATTAACCTCTATCAATCGATAACCGAAAACACATTAATTTGCGATAACGTTACAATTTTTTTATTGTATTAAAATTCGATAAGTATTACATTTTTCCTAAATAAATTTTCCTTTTTCCTTTAAATAAATACTTTTTTCTATTTTCAAAATTTAGTAGAATAAAGTGAGAATAAAGAAAATGGTTATTTGTTATTTATATTATAAGGAAGAAAAGTGTGTCTTTTCCTTTCACAGGTGGAAAAAAACCGTTTCCTCCAGAGTAATACATATAATTTTTCCTACAATCTAGCAAGAAAAACTTCAAAACTAAAAATTTCTCTCAGTTTCGCCATTAAATCCAACAGCACGTTTTTCCGTTTCTATAGGAGAGGTAAAATTTTTACCTCCCTAAGAGGTAATTAGCCACTTTTATTTCTGAAATTAGGTTGAAAAAATTTACTTTCTGTTAGGATAGTAGGAAAACGTCATTATGCACCAGTGAAAAGAAGAAATAAAGGTGAAAATGTCTAAAACCTCTGAACCTACTCTTAGATTTTTGTTTTTTTTTTATTTTAAATAAAAGTAGCATCTTATGCTACTGCCAAAGTTTTAAAATAATTTAATTTATACTGACATATTTAGAATTTAAATATAACCTTGACCCACTTTTTAGGTAAAAAATCAATCGATGCAATGTCAAGTAAATTGGTAAACGTCATAGTAAATGTCAGGTAAAAGAGAGTAACGCTGAAAAAACAGTGTTTTTACGCCATGTCTCAAAAGTAAAACTATTACTTGTGTCATTTAGTCATAAAAGGGTAATTTTTCTGGCGTTTGCGGATAAAAGATTTTTATTTACTCCTATTGACTATCTAGCATTTCCGTCGTTTTCCAAATTTTGTTGTCAACTTGACGATGAAAATCACAATCATTTACAGTCACCCGGTACTTGAATGTAATACAGTGCAATTTCTGATCAAAGTCACATACAGGATGAATATAAAGTATGGAACCAAGCGGTTTTATTTTTGACTATTTGCCTCCAGAAAATAATAATTAATATAAATTAGAGTAATATAAAAAATGTGATCGTATTTTCAGAACGAAATTTTGTTTTGTTTTTGAGTTACGCGATTTTTTTTTTGTCAAAATTGCATTTATGTGAAAAATTTTTTTTGAAAAAATTAAATATAAAGCAGATAGTTGTAATCTTTAGAGTATAGCTTTTATGAGAAAAATGATTTTATAGTGGGTTGCCATTAAAAAAAAATATTTTTTGTAGAACTCAAAAACAAAAGAAAATTTCGAAAAATGTTATTCTTGTTAAATCATCACATTTTTATAGTACTTTATCACTCAATAATTAGTTTTTTCAATAAATAAATAGTTTAAGCAAAAAACGTTTGGTTCCATACTTTTTATCCACCTGGTATGTTCTTAAAATTAGGTAAGTGAACAACACTGAATAAAATAGAGACACTAGATATGAAATAAGACATACCTCACATCGAAATGTTGCCAACTTAATTTAAAAGTTATACGCCACTTTAATTCCAAAACTTGATTTTTTTTAATGTCAAGAAGGGTCAAATTTAATATTTTTAAGAAGGGCACTTTTTTCTGAGTTCTGTGATGTAAGACATACATATCTTGTTTAAAAAAATGATCGAAGTAATTAAATTTTGAAAAATGTATTTTTTTATCCTTAGAAATGTTGTCTTTATCTATCGATAGCTCTTTGCCGCCTGAAGTTTGACCAGATATTAGGTAAACTATTTCCCAAATTTCAAGGTGCTCTGCTACAACGTTCTGAAAATATTTAGCTGTATCCATATTTTTTATCGACCCTGTATAATAAAATCAACAATCGAAAGACGGCTCAGGTGAATATCAAGGAAATAGGAAAAACATTTAAAAATTTGACAACGAAAACTGTCAAAAATCATTTTCATTTTTATTAACTGTTGTATTACTTTTTCCATTTACAGGTAATGACAACATTGACAACTACTTAATTGTAATTTACACAATACATTATTTGTTTTACAATTGTAACTTCTCATCAAAGTGACCTGTGACTATAAAATTAAATTGGCAACATCGAATTATTAGTATAATTAAATAACGTCAGATGACACTGTCATCATGACAGCCATACCGGCAGCTGCTACCCCTTGGAAATGAATGACGTTTGATTTTTGACAGTTTATGCTGCCAACTTAATTTCAAAGTCGTAGGACACTTTTTTTATGAACATGGTACGAATAAGTTACCAAATTTGTTTCGTTTTATTGTGAATTGCTCTTCGAAAATTGTTTCTACGTCCAAAAAATGAGCAAAACTACGTCAAAAACATCGTTTAGTCACTCTTTCCTCGATTATTTGTCACAAAACAAAAATAGAAGTTTCGTAATATTGCATTTTTCTTTTAATGTCTATCAAATACTTTATCCATTGACAACATTGACAACTAATTGTAATTTACACAATACATTTGTTTTACAAATGTAACTTGTCATCAAAGTAACTTGTGACTTTAAAATTAAATTGGCAACACCGAATTATTAGTAATATTAAATAAGGTCAGATGACACTGTCATCATGACAGCCATGCCAGCAGCTGCTCCTTGGAAATGAATGACATTTGACTATTATAAAAGTGTGACGTTTGATTTTTGACAGTTTATGCTGCCAACTTAATTTCAAAGTCGTAGGACACTTCGATTAGAATTTTTTTATGAACATGGTAGCATGATACGCATAAGTTACCAAATTTGTTTTGTTTGTTTCTACGTCCAAAAAATGAGCAAAACTACGTCAAAACCATCGTTTAGTCACTCTTTTCTCGATTATTTGTCACAAAACAAAAATAGAAGTTTCGTAATATTGCATTTTTCTTTTAATGTCTTTATCAAATAGTAATGATTAATTATTATTTTCTTCGCTGTTAGATCTTTGCCCTTAACCAACTTTAAAGATCTAGACCGTTGTTTTATTACGATATTTATTAGACTTCGTGTAGAAAAACTTGATTTTTTTTCTTGAAATATTTATTTTATTGGGGAAATGGTCCAAGGCAGTCACTTCTAATGACGAATTATATAAGGAATTAGAAGGTGTCAGGGTGTAGAATTGAAGTATTTGGTAAAAAATACACAAATAGGTGTTTCCCGTCGTCTTGTAATTAAAAATCTCCCAGTCTCGTTCCACCTGTTAGTAAAATAAAGGGATACAAGCACGGTTTATGCATTACAAAGTTGCAAAACCAGTGTGCAAACATCTCATCTAACCTGCACACTCGGCGATTTTAATTAAAATAAAATTTCATCGAATCGAATCAATCACAACGATTGAAAAACTGACTTACCTGATACCAGAAGGTCTCCCTCGGCTGAAAATTCGATGGCGTTAACACACCCATAATGGGCCAAAAGATCTTTTCTATACAAATTCCTCGCCTTTGCTAGCCGTTCCTTGAATATTTTATTTTTAATAAACACATTGTCTTTGTATTGTCTTTCGACTATGTGACGAAGTGGATTCAGTGGCGAAGGCTTAGCCATCGAGAAAAACTTATATTTTACTCACAAAAACTGCACTTTGTTGACAAAAATATTCCGTTGATTTTCTACGAAACGTCAAGAGGATACATATGTCACAATCAGCTGTCTATGAGCGAGCATGGCTTTAAACGTTCATCGGATCATGTCTCGCATGTGGGGTAAACACCAGGTATGACAATTTCCCAATTTAGTGGTTTACCACAGCAAAAGTAATTCTAACACCGGTGAAAGAAAGTTACGGAAATTTCAGATGCATTTGTCGTTCACAACCGGAACTAATGTTTGAAATTTCCCTCCCTTGGGATTCAGGTACAGTTGGAGACAAAATACTTTGGTCGTCCAACGTTAAAATGAATGACAATTTCAAATTAATGACGCTATTAGATTTTCCTATCAAAAATATGTACAGGGTGTGCATTTTGGATGTCCGAATAGGGTAAGAGGTTTTACCAAAAACGAGTAATACATTCTGGGGCTCATTTTTAAGAATATAATATTGGTAAAAACTGCATCCCGCTATCGTCTTTTGTTAATAAAATAAACTTTTATTTTTTTAAATGGGAATCATAGATGGCTATGTCATTTTTAAAAAGCTTGTTTTTTTCTTATTTAAAAAATATATATTTGTAATAAATTATTATAATACATTTTTAGCAAAAAATGTACTTTGATTTTTGTTCGCAGTTGGCCATGAAAAAATGTTGCATCTTCAACTAAAAGGATTTAAACTATATTATTCAACCAGTGTCACTAATAAAAGAGTTTTCTAAGTACTAAGTAAAAAAAAAAATTTTTTTCAATGTTACTTGTGGCTTTTATTGGCTAAATTTTTGTCCCTTTACTAAATAATTGTAAAAAAAACATATACGAGATCATCAGTAATATTAAATAGATATAACAAATGCCAAATGTCAAATTTTTTTGACAGATAGACTTTTTTAAACATTTTTTTCATGTTCCTGGTATCTTACCTTACTTGAAAATTTTCTCTGGGGCGCGAGTTCTGGCGCACTTATATATCTATATTTTTTCACAAAACTCTTATTGAGTGAAATGGTTTTTCCATGGCCAACTATGATCAAACAAAATATGTATTTCATTTTTTAAGTATAATTATAAAAAAAATATTCTGTTACAAATATATATTTTTTAGATCAGAAAAAAATAAGCTTTTCAAAATTGCCATAGCCACCTATGATTTCCATTAAAAAAAATAAGTTTATCTTATTACGTCTAAACCAATAACTGAAAAAAATTGTTAACTACATTATTAAATTCCTCGAAAAAAAGTGCCTGTATAATGTCTTAATTTCAAATCCGTATCTTCTATAATAAAGAAAATCTGAATTTTTTTAGATTTCGCCAAAATGTCAACTTTTGTCTGTAAGTCGAAAACAAAAGGCGATATCGAGATGCGGTTTTAACCAATATTATTTTCTCAAAAAATGAGCTCCAGAATGTATCACTCGTTTTTGGCTAAACATCATAGTTTCGAAGATTCCCTATTCGGACATCCAAAATGCACCACCCTGTAGATACAACTTGAGAGTAGCTAAAAATAAGGTTAACAGTCCTAAAGCATGCTTTACCATTTAGTGTCACTCAAGTGACATTGACAACCAAAGTATTTTGTCTCCAACTGTACAGGGTGCTGCATTTTGGATGTCCGAATAGGAAATCTCCGAAATTAAGAAGTTTAGCCAAAAACGAGTAATACATTCTGGGGCTCATTTTTTGAGAAAATAATATTGGTTAAAACCGCATCCCGCTATCGTCTTTTGTTTTCGACTTACAGACAAAAGTTGACATTTTGGCGAAGTCTAAAAAAAATTATATCTTCGTTATTATAGTAGATACGGATTTGAAATAAAGACATTATAGAGGCACTTTTTTACGAGGAATTTAATAATGTAGTTAACAATTTTTTCAGTTATTAGTTTAGCCGTAATAAGATAAACTTGTATTTTTTTAAATGGAAATCATAGGCGGCTATGGAAATTTTGAAAACCATATTTTTTTCTGATCTAAAAAATATATATTTGTAACAAAATATTTTTTTATAACTATACTTAAAAAGTGAAATACATATTTTGTGTGATAATAGTTGGCCATGGAAAAACTGTAAAATAGATGAAAAAATAGATAAAATTATAAAGATTTAAAAAATACGATACGGTAGAAGCATTGAACAAATATCAGAGCGCCTCAGAACAAAATTATTACATATTTTAAAAAAATCCAAAAATAAGAAAAACAAATGTGTCAACAGTCAACACAATTACAAAAAACATTTTTTTGATGATCTAATGGAGGTAGGATAACGTTTCACATAGACGGAATTTGGGTATTTGAATAACCATATCGTCATTTTTGTGTCATATAAAATATATTTTCTTGAAGAATTAAAGCGGCTTTTTTTTTACAACACTCTATGTATCACCAGAAGTTGCAATGGTAATGTTAGCTTGTTTAAAAACAAAGAAATGTTATTAGTCGCCAATAAGTTGATTTACAATTTATTTTGCATCTTTTTCATCACTTAGTACTTAGAAAACTTTTTCATTAGTGACACTGGTTGAATATAATATAGTTTAAATCCTTTTAGTTGAAGATGCAACATTTTTTCATGGCCAACTGCGTACAAAAATCAAGATAATTTTTTGCTAAAAATGTATTATAATAATTTGTTCCAAATATATATTTTTAGATAAGAAAAAAACAAGCTTTTTAAAAATGACATAGCCATCTATGATTCCCATTTAAAAAAATACAAGTTTATTTTATTACGGCTAAACAAACAACTAAAAAAATTGTTAACTACATTATTAAATTCCTCGTAAAAAAGTGCCTGTATAATGTCTTTATTTCAAATTCGTATCTTCTATAATAACAAAGATATGATTTTTTTTAGATTTCGCTAAAATGTCAATTTTTGTCTATAAGTCGAAAACAAAAGACGATAACGGGATGCGGTTTTAACCAATATTATTTTCTCAAAAAATGAGCCCCAGAATGTATTACTCGTTTTTGGCTAAACCTCTTAGTTTCGGAGATTTCCAATTCGGATATCCAAAATGCAGCACCCTGTACAGAAAAAACAACACAACTTTTGATTTTTAGCTAATTTAATGATAATAATTTCTACAACAACGTACTAAACTAATAAATAATTTGTCTTTAACTTTGGATAATACTTCAACAACTGCAGTCCTTAATTCTCTGAGCAAAATCTAACCCTCTAAATATTAAATAAATCAGTCAGAATCGCTGCTGCTGCTACTTGAGGACGATGATGAGGAGCTACTTGAGCTATGATGCAAAGCTGAGGCTAGAGCGTATGTCCCCAAAGCAGCCCCACCAATAGGCAATCCATACTTCATCGCTTTATTCATTTTTGATTTTTTCATTTTTTTGTGAGGATACCCGTACGGGTATGCTGGGGCATATGAAGGGTATCCCGCGCCTCCTGGGTAAGGGTATCCTGGCTGGGTTGGGTAAGGCGATTTATGGGAATGGTGGTGGTGGTGATGGTGACCTAAACCTCCCGGTGTTGGCATTGGCATTGATGGGTGGTGCGGTTGTGGCATCCCTATATGGGGGCCATGCGACATCGAATTGGGTAAAGGGGGCATTGGCATAGATGTGGGAGTAGTTACCTGAAATTAGTTTTTAAGAATGTCAATTTTGTAAAAAAATTTATGGAATAAAAAAGTGAAACGCAAACTGCTTTTGAGTGTTTTTATATTTTTTATCTTGGAATAAGCATCAACAATCAATGATTATAAATACATTCGATTAAATAACATGCTATTTGTTGTAATTATAAAAATAATCTCATTTTTGGACGGCATTAAAGCAATAACACAGAAAATCTTAATTAATTAAAACTAAATCTCTGGGAAAAGGGGCTACACCAAATGGTATTTATTAGATTTATTTGTAGATAAGGGAAAAATGTTATTTGGTTCTTTTCTCTCAAATTGTTTATTTAAATTGCTACATATGTTTTGGCCAATTTTTGTAATGGCCATCTTCAGACAATAATTTTATGATTTTAATAATTTAGACAGATTTGTCAAGAAGAAATTACCACCTAGGATTCAAACTTTTAGGAAAATTACGTTTTTTATGTTGTTGGTAACTAGAATTTTCAGAAGTAACTTTGCCTTTGTTGTAGACGGTTGACGTTTTCTTCTATCAACCTGCTGTTAACTATCAATAATAAAATTTTACATACAAGCTGACAGGTGACAACCTAAATTTTGACACTAGTTACAATAAAATCTTTTGTTTTTCACCAGAAACCAACCTAACCAAATTTATGGCAACAACCTATTCACGAATATCCCAAAATCCTAGGGAGTAATTTCTTGTTGATATGACAATATGTAGCAATTTAAATAAACAGTTTAAGAGAAAATTACCTACTAACATTTTTCCCCTTATTTAAAATATCGATCTCTCACAAAAATGGATCAACCAATAATTAGATTTAGTTTTCATAAAAATTCTTTTCTATGTATTTTGCATCTTTAACAAGGTTATTAACAAACTCGTTTGGGTGCGTTAACAGCCTAGTAATTTTTTGTTTTTAATGTTGGTGACAGTGCCTCATTTCGAAATTTCAAACTCTCGCTTCAAAACATGCCTTCTGTAGCTCGTTTTAATATAACGGCTTTTTTTTTTAATTTGGCCTCAAAGTTATCCATAAAAGTTAGATTGTGAATGAAGCATCGTACAGTTGGAGACAAAATATTTTGGTCGTCACTGTCACTTGAGTGACATTAAATTGTAAAGCATGCTTTATCCTTATTTTTAGCTACTGTCAATTATTTTTAGATGACATTAATTTGAAATTTGAAAATGTCAAAAAAGTGACGACCAAAGTATTTTGTCTCCAACTGTATTGAAAGTTATTAAACTGACATTTGACACCTCGCCGGGTGTATTAAAAATTTGTGGTCCGTTCACAACACATATCACCGCCAACTAGGACGCCAAATTTAAATAAACACCCGTTACTATTATGATTATGATAGATCAAAACTCAAATTATTAAAAAGCTTTTAAAATATTACCTATTTCAACTTCAACCTCAAAATCTTTATTAAATGTTTATTAACGAATATCTTTTCAGATTTAAAAGAAATGTGTTTTGAGTGAAGATTTGGGCAAACATGTATTTTTTGCTATTTAATGTCCTTTTAAATGTATTATTCATTCTTTTTAAACATTTCTGTTGAAATTAATCTGATAATTGTTACTGAACAAATAGACCGACAAAATTTTAACACAGTTTCCCAAGGATAAATGGAAACGATCTGTACCTTTTTTTGTGTTTATAACTATTAGGGATAAAACCCCCTTGCCACTTACGGCGGTTGTCAATTGTTACAATGCTCAAGTAAAGTAAAATCGTTTTCATAAGACCTACTAAAAATTATATGACACATTATAAGGGATTAACCAAACAATGGCTTAAATTTGAAACCCTTCATAAATGGCATGTTCCTTTGAAGTCTTGCTGCACCCACTAGAATAAAACAGGGCCGTATTTAAAACTAAAGTTGTAGTAGAGTTTTATCAAGCTATTATTAAAAAAATATCAGCTTTATTTAATAATAGCTTGTTAATTACCACCTGGCTTTTTTAAATTCCTTAAAATACTTGACTTTAACAACAACTACATCAAAAACTATTAAAATATTTCAAGTATTTTAGACAAAAAGAAAGTAAGTAATCCGGCCCTGTTAAAAACTGACCTGTTTCAGGGTCCGGGTGGGTTCCACTAATTTATGATTTGTTTACCCTCTGGTTTATTCTTAACAATACCCCACTTAACTCAAAAGTAATAAAATTCTTAGTAGGTCTTATGAAAACGATTTTACTATACATACATTTTTATCAAATTTATTACCATGTTTCCACTACCTGTACAAATATGAAATAGTACATGATGTATCACATCATGTACTATTATGTACTATTTACACATCAGTGGCGTACGTTTTACCTCGAACATAACTGTAATGAAACTTTATTTCGAAAACAGTTGAACAAAGAATTTATTACTATTTTTTCCAGCATGTACTCATACTACCAAGGATAAAATTTTGTCGTTTTATTTAATTTCTATTTAAGAATCACCCTGTAAATAAAAAAATAATAAAAACTAATAAAGCACCATACTGTCAAGACTTTTCCCTGAGATATGCTTTGCAAATAATTTACAAAATGGAAGAAAGTTGCATCTACTGTTATTTTGAAAATTTATACATAAGTATTTTAATTATTTAATCAAAAGGCACTATTAGCTTAACTATAGAGTATTAGTATAATGGTTGCACCTTGCTACTAATGTTACTATCTACAACAACTACAATACTACAACTACAAACAAGCGGTTGTAGGTTTAAAAAAACATTCGTACATTGTAGATAAGTAAACTTAAAAAAATCACTTGATTCAACAAAACAATCCTATGATTTTCAACATACCTATAGAAATCTCTAACAAAAATGTACATAATTAGCTGTGCAAAAAAAAAAGAAAATTCACCGCTATATTTTTATGTTAAAAAACAAGGGAATATAAAAACAACTACCTACTTAACCAACAATGCTTAATTTAAAAAATTGTCATGCTATAAGTTGTACGTAACTTACTTAATAAACAAACCACACACAAGAATTTTAGACAAACATAAACAAATTTAAAGACACAACCCATATAAAGCAACCCACAATAATTAAAACTGTTTAAAACTGGCCACGATGTCCATACTGGTTTTGCCCACCCTAAAAAACAAAACCATTAATTCCTCTCCTCCCATACACCAGTCACAGACCTGGGGCTGCTGAGGCTGAAGCACATCCCTTGCCAGATTACTAAGAAACGAACCAACACTTCCAAACCCCCCAACCGAGCCTTCACCCCCGACCTGAGGCGTGTTAAAACCGCGCTGATCCTGAGATCTTTGCTGTGGAGGGGGACCATGAGGATACTGACCGTATTGCTAAAATTCGCCAATTATTTGAACTGTTTTCAAAATAAAAGTGTCAAACACTCACTGCATTCTGGGGAGAGAAGCCTTGATTCTGATTCGGACTCAAAATACCACTTAATAGTTTTTCAGCAGCACCGCTTGCTATTGCTTCAGCAAGAACTGATTGTGCTGATTGCATAAAGTGGTCGAAACCGGATTGAGACTCTTGCTAGATTTTTTCAGAAAAATTGAAATGAAAATCGGAGAAATTTTACCCAAACACCAAGAGTAAATCACTAAACACCAAATAACCCACGAAAATAACAAAGAAAAACCCACAAGCCATGCATTTTTGTAGCAATAAGCATGCAATTACAAGCTGAAACTCCTTTCAAAGATTTTGACATTACACATTAACTGTATTTACAAAAATTTGTGACCACAAACTAATATTTTCCGTTACGCCCGAGCTGTACATACAATTTTTTACAACTGAATATGTACATATAAATATTTTTTTTTTAATTATCAATAGCAATACCCCAAGTGCACGTCGAATTGTTGATAATTAGGGGTATTTTGAAGACTATTTCCCAAACAAAATTTACAAAGACAATATTTTTATTATAAGAAATTTAAAAAAAAAAACGATTTATATACAAAAAAAAATATATCAACCAAATCTTTCAAATTTCTGAGATTCATCCAATCAGATTCGCGGTAATTTCGCGATAATTTGCACACGTCCTGAATTATCGGGTAACTTGAATCTGATTGGATGATTCTCAGAAATTTGAAAGATTTGATTGGCTTACACTTTGTGAGGGAAATAGTCAAATCAATATACAGGCTGTACCAACGAGATGAAAAAGTCCATTTGTGACCTTTAAATAGTAAAATTAAAAAAAATATATACAGGGTGCGCCAGAACTCGCGCCCCAGAGAAAAATGCCATATAAGGTAAGATACCAGGAACATGGAAAAAATGTTATCTATAAAAATTTCGAAGTTATGAGGTTTTAAGGTTTGCACTTTGACTCTATTTATTTCTGTTGAAAAAATAATTTTCCAAGTTTTTTTGCTATAGGCTATTAAAAGAGGAAACAAGAAAGCTGTATCCTAAATTGTAAAAAATATTTGACAGATAGAATTTTTTAAACATTTTTTGGTATCTTACCTTACTAGAAAATTTTCCCTGGGGCGCGAGTTCTGGCATATAGGACATTGACAGATACTAATTTAGTCCTTCGCCTAAAATTATTTTCAACTATACAGCGTGTCTCAAAAGTAAGTTACTGTATTGTAATAATTAACTTGTGTTTTTTTAAATGAAACACCATATATTTCTTAGCGTTTTTGAAAGTAGATTTTTATGACAGTGTTTTTAAGCTAAACTTTGATTGGTCGATTTTGCTTAGTTTTAAAAATAAAACGGTTTTTTTGACGCAAATATGCACTTTTTAAAATTTTATTACACAAAAACTAAGACATCTAGAAATATTTTTTTACTACCGCAAAAAAAATGTACAAGCTATATAATAAGGTTGTAACATTTTTTAGTGTGTTGCGTTTGCAAAGATAAAAAAATGAAGGCGTGTGTTAAAAGTTCAATAACTTAAAAAAATTAAATGGTACATCCTATTTATTGTTTTCGCATTTAAAAGATTATTAAATTGTCGTTCTAAAATTATTTACTTTTATCGTTTAACGTTAAACATAAAAAAATAATTACTATTGTTTCAGTAGCCAAAAAATTATTATATTTAGATGCAAAAATAAAAAATAGAGTGTTCCATTTAAATTTTTCAAGTTATTTAACTTTAACAAACTTCTTAATTTATTAATYTTTACAAGTGTAAAACACTAAAAAATTGCTACAGCTAAATTCTGTAGTTTCTTCTTTGCAGAAGTAAGAAAAAAATTGTTCTAGCTGTCTTAATTTTTGTGTAATAAATTTTTAAAAAGTGCATGTTTTCGTCAAAAAAAAAACATCTTCTTTCTAAAACTAAGCGAAATCGACAAATAAAAGTTTAGCGTAAAAACATTGTTTTAAAAAGCTACATCCAAAAAACATACGTTGTTTTATTTAAAAAAACACAAGTTTGTATCGTAACTTATTTTTGGGACATGCTGTATGGTTGAAAATAATTTTAGGTGATGCACTAGATTAGTATCTATCAATGTCCTATACATTTTTTTTTAATTTTTTTACCATTTAAAGGTAATGGACTTTTTCAATTCGCTGGGACGCCCTGTATTTTGTATGTTCTGGCATACCGTTTGTGTTTGCTGGAGCAATTTCCAAATTTTAACAGCTTGACATTGAAAGCAACATTTGTTAACTTTCAAAATTTCGGTTGTAGAGATGTAAACTATCGGATTAAAAAGTGTTTTAAATTCTGTAGCAAATTCAAACAATTATTCCTGTACCTATAATTAAAAAGTCATTTATATAATTACAAAAAAAAAAGATGAAGAAACGACTTTTAACTTTATTTTCTTTATTAACTATAACTATTATAAGGTCCTACTAACTGCGCCATTTCTTTTTTCTTCAAACTATTTTTTTATTGTTTTATTATATTTTTTTGTAATTAGAATATTATAACATCAATGAAAAGAGTTTTAACATATTTCATAAACAGTTTCTAAATAACTTTTTAAAAATAAGAAAAATACGATTACGAAATCGCAATTCAAGGTAAGACTTTTGCGCTCGATTTTGAAAAGTCCAAGTACGAATTCGTGAAAATTTTAATTGTGACATTAAATTCAATCTTGTATTAAATGGTTTATTGTTATCAAATGTCTTAAAAATACAAATAGTAAACAATACAGGGTGTTTCACACAACTTTACGAGGCTTGCGCCTAATGTACGCACCCAAATATACAAAATTCACAAAACACTAGATACAAAAAATACACATTTAATTATTTCATTTTTGGAAACCCATGACAGTAGTTGTCAAACTAATCACTATTTCATTATTAGTCATAAACTGCAGTTTTTCAGAAACAATTATCACTTGTTCTGTCAAAAGACGACATGAATATGATTCTAGTTTATCTATCTTAATCACTAATTAACTAAAAATGTTGTAATTTTTGAAAGGGTGAACAAACTAGAGAAGATTATCCAATTTTTCAAAATGTGTAATCAAGTTCGTTCGGAATGTGTATTATTGGTTGCATCATACAGGCGCAGGCCTCGTAAAATTATGTAAAATACCCAGTATAATTCATCAAAGTGGCTTTAATAACAATAATTTTGCAACAATAATTTTAAATTTCGTACCAATTCAAACTTCGGATCATTCCGCAGAGAACGCAAAAATCTGAAATTGGTCTTTCATTCCGACTAGCTATAATAATAACACCAGTAAGATTGCTTTAAAAATGTTAACAATAAGAGAATAATGTCTATTTCCCACACTTACCCCTGGCGGTGGCGGGGGTCCGAACCCCTGAGGGCCCTGCGGTCCAAACCCTTGCGGCGGTGGCCCATACCCCTGAGAGGGTGGTCCATATCCGCCTGGTGGAGGTCCATACCCCTGAGGTCCGCCAAAGCCTTGCGGCGGAGGCCCATACCCACCTCCCGGAGGCCCCTGAGGACTACCCTGATTCTGAACCCCCGAAACTTGTTTTGCAACATCACCCCCTTCAGGTGGAGGGGCTGACGCAGTGGTACTCTCCCACGAAATCAGCGTAATGACAACATCCCCATCGATCAACAAATGAGAAATTTGATCTCGGGGAATGCGATAGGGAAATTCGCAAAAGTGTTGCCCATTGACGGCAACCTGGAACAATTGGTTATTAATTGGGTTGACGTCATAGCGAGGTCACATGGGGGCTCACTTTGTAATCGTGAACGTCGGGTAAGATGAGAATTTCGAATTGTTGGCCGGGGCCTATGGGGAGGCGCCCTTTGCCGTCTTCATCGCCCCAAGCGCCCCCAATGTAGGAGTTTCGGGCGATGTACCCCTGTTTAAGACGGACAGAGATGTGGAGACCGGTGTCGTCTCTAGGCTTGCTGTTAGGGCCGGTTTGGAAATTAATATTGAATCTGAAATTTTTTAAATAAAGTTTCATTTTTGTAAATTTGTAAATGCAGAACCTGTCGCCATGTTGGGGCACAGCCCCTTGGATTCGAACCATTTTGCCTTGTTGTAGCCCCCCAGGTATGACACCCGAGAAAGGCAATTGCTGAAATTAGGTTAAATTCATGTTCGTGTTAAAAATTTCCAGCTTAATTCATTACTTACCGGATTGACAATAGGTTTATCCATCTTTTACGACTCTTTGACAGAAAAGCAACGTTTTATTTTTCTTTTAATGAGGAGATACTTCGAAATAAGCACATTTACACATATTTTATAAGCGAGGTCATGCGTTATAATGTGAGTTTTCAACTTACTCAGGGGCGGGGTTACAGAACTGATGAGGTAAAATCTATTTTTAACATAATTATTTGGTAATAAAATGATGGAATCAGCTGAAAACTGAAAATTCTCCTAAATATACTTTATTATTCATGATTGATTAATTTGCGATTTTTGAGATAAGTGACATCAAATGTTTTTTATCCTTTTAAGGAAACGAAGACAGCAATGTTATATTTTTAATTTTGTGAAATATTTGAGTTATCACAAAAATTTGCAGTTTGAGCAGGCTCAAGCAATAAATTAATGACGTTTTACAAGTTTCTTGGTATAACCTCAAACATCAAAACTTTGAATAGTTTGACTCGAGTTTGAATAATAGGGTGACTGGCAATGTCACAATACTCACAACTGTGTTTTTTTGAGGTAAAATAGGTCATAAACATTTGATTTCTGTGTAAAACAATGTACAAAGTGGTTATAAATGATTTTCATCTAGCCAGCTATGAATTTTCCATGTAAAATAAAAAATGCCGCTTTACAAAAATAGGGGTACCTACTTGTATTAACTTAAAATTAAAAAATCGCCGTTTACTAAGCGTCTACTTCAATTATAAACTTGTTTTCTTCCAAAGTATACATTATTATCAATTATTATTGGAAATTAGTTGAAACAATAAAAGGTTAATTAACAACAATTTATTATTAATTAATAAGTGACACTAATGACAACTACAGCTTTCAAAAAAGTAGAGCGGCACAAATAAAGTTACCTACATGCAAAAAATCCAAAGCTGGCTAGATGAAAATCATTTATAACCACTCTGTATAACAACATGACTCTACTGACAAATTTAAAGGCAAAATGCTATTTCATACAAAAAAAAAAGTTATGTTATGTTTATGAATTGACAGAATGGCGATTGAAATGGCACGATGTTTTCATCTCGTGCCATTTCAATCGCCACATTGGCAACGTCGGAACTGTTATTTTTTATTGAATAACCGACTAAAGCTTTTTAAACTGCTCCATAAAAGTTAAGGAAGTCGCATTATGTTTATAACAAACAAATATTATTCTTCCAAACCTTTTGGAATCCAGCAAAAACAAAAAGTGAAAAGATATCTGCATTTATTATCTCACTTTTAGTTAATTATTAATTTATTTTTTAATAATTGATTAATTTTAGCTATTAACATACCTAGGATGTAATAAATGTCATAACAGCTGCAAATGTCAGTTTGAAATCCGAGCGAGTTTGCGAGCGAGGATTTTAAGACATCTAAGGCTGTTATGACATTATTACATCCGAGGTTTGTTCAAGATTTTATCGGTTTTGGAACAAATTAAATCCAAATATTGGAACAAATTAAATCCAAAAAATCTAGGATGTAATGACAGCTGCAGATGTCAGTTTGACATTCGAGCGAGTTTACAATTTTACAATATCGATATGTCAGTAAAATTGACATTTCTTTATTGTAAAATTTTACAGCAATAAATAAGTTACCAGACTGTTTTTGTGCATGTAACATTGCTCTTAACAGACAGAAACCGATAAAATTATTAATTATTGCACACTTCTTTACCTTTTGTGGAACAGTTTATTTGAGAAAACTCAAATTTTATTAATTTTAACAAATTCTTTCTATATCTAATATCTGTTTTAAAAAGGACTTAAACGTGGTGTAATATTTACAATGAAATTTTAGCAAGACTTTTAACAATTAATTTTTTTAACATTATTTAAAAATTTATAGCCGATTTAGTGAACACTGACATTAATATTTTTGGTTGCCAAATCCACCACAATTGACTCTGTATATTACATTATTATTTATAACTAACTATTTGTATCACAATTGTAGTAATTTTATGCATGTTGTGTGAGACAGTCAGAAATTTACCTTGCAGCGCTTTCCACTTTTATGGTTGGCAACCTTGATCTAAATTCACATTATACATAGTGTCTCAATTTAGAATTTCAATTTTTTTTTTGATTGATGAACAATTGCCAGTACGGTAAACCAAATAACTTACAGTACAAATAAAATGTTTAAGTACGATTATTTTACCTCAAGTTGCCAAATTACATTAGGGAGTGGAAATATTGAAATTTGAAGCCATCCTCTCGATAGAAATAATCCTTTTCTCGCCTGGGCATTTTACTGACACTTTCAGTTTTTAAGTTTAAAATGTTTAACCTCTTAATATTAGTTTTTCCTTCCCAGCTTTTATTAATTGCGTTATTTTTCTTTAATAATTAATAATAATCCAGTTTTTCCTTAACTAAGGGAAACTCGGAATCACTTTTTCGGAAATGCCCAGGCAGGATATTGCTGATTGAAACTAATTGTATTGATAATCCATTTCCTCAAATTTGAAAATAAAGACTTTATCTAATTACAATTTCATTTTTTGTTTTTTTTTAGTGTGAGAAGTCAAAAGAAAAGACAAAAAAATATTAATTAAATACCAGTGTGGGCTATTAGTAAGGGGGATGATGTTTGAAATAAAATTGATAGTTTTAAAAGATAGATTTTATTCTTTATAATTGGCATCGCATAAAATAAATACAAAATTTGACAAACTCTATATAAAATTGACAAGTGATTACAAATATTGCAACCACAGTATTGCTGATAGTCCTATTTGTTAAAGTATTCTCAATATATTATTAATTATATACTTAATAGTAGTAACACAAATTCGCTTATTGGAATAGGAGCACTCCTATTGCAAAAGTATAACATTAACCTTAAATCTATCATATAAAAATGTATGGAGGGAATAACTTTGCGTTAAGTGAAAATATACAGATTTTTTTTACCATTACAAAAAAGGCATTTCTTGGTAGCAAAAAATAAATCTGCATTTAGCATAGCAAAATAGCTTGAGCACTTTGACATTTTTGGTCCATGTTTAGTACACGTTATATACAAATGACTATTTAAAAAAAACATACATAACAATAAATAATGCAAAAAATGACACTAGAACATTACTAACACATTAGTAATAAATATTTTTGGTTTGGTTTCAAGAATACTAAACATGGTTGGTAAACGTTGGACATGACATGCGGCAGTCATAAAATCCTTAAAAAATTTCACTTTCGCTAAAGATGAGCTCGTCCAACATTGATCTCTCGGCTTAACCTAACTCGTAGCTCGAAAATGCTTATGTGAAAAAAAGTCCAAAAATATAATAAATAAACTCTTAGTTTAATTATAAAATAATACAACAACATGAACTTTTTTTCACATAATACACATCTCGCTACAACTCTTTTCTTTATAAACTAACAAGTTTCGGAGGTCCACATGCATCTGGTGATGTCATATCGGCAGCACTCGTAGGGATATTCCTTTGCTGCGTGCTGCACGAAGGCACCAAGGGGGCTGACACGGGCGTAAGCCCAGTCCCACCCACCATCAACGAATCGAAATTGAACTGAATGCCGGTAGAAGGCGTCGTTATCGGAATGCCCGCTATATCGCTTATATTGTTATTCTTGGGGGCTGTCGACATCACATTTAACGAATTCGGTCTGCAAGGCTTCGAGATGGGAACAGTTGAACTCAACATCACTCTTTTCGCCGGCGATGGCATACAAAACGGCTCATTTGCCACGGAAGTCGGAAGCGGCTCGTCTAACTCGGACTTGACTCTATCTCCATTGACGCGATTCCCGAACACAAAAGGCTTCACATCAGGAGGGCTCTGCGAGTGGAGTCTGCAGTTACTCGACGAGGAACGGTGCGACTCCAGGAGATAGTCCAACTCATCTTTCATTCGTTGATATTCTTGTATCTCCTCCTGGAGTGCTTGTTTTTTCTGTTCCAAATCTTCAGTTTCCTGTAAACAATTGCCAATCAAAATAATGACATTCAAAACTCTTTCAGGTACTTATTATTATACAGGCTGTATTATGAAAAACGCCCCCAGTCATAACTCCATTATATTTAAAATTATGACAATACTTCTTAGAATAAAGTTGAACATTTTTTGTCATCTATCGTTTGGGATAGATGCTAAATTAATACTGTTTTCTGTTTCACCGGAAATGACATCAACTTTATTTTTTTAATGGAACACCTATATATTTTACCACTTTTGGATTCTTTGTTTAATTGTCTTTTAACAAGTTTTAGTACCATGTGCCTAAAACCCACCGTTCGTGAGATATGAGTCAATTAAAAATATATTAAACTAGGCAGCGGAAAACAATAATATTAAGTAATGTTGACAAATATTATTATTTTGCATTTTCTCTTATTATTTTTATACTTTTTGGTGTTCTGGTGATAATGTGTTAACAGACACGATTCAAGAATATTTTGAAAGCAATAGAAATAGTTGGAGACCACAACGCCTTTACACTGGGCGGTTTCCAATAAGAGAAGTTCCAATTCGTCGACCTTAAGAAAATTTGAGCATGTTTGGGGTTTTTAGAAAACCCAAATTAGAACAGTTGCCTGCGATAAGCCAACGTTACTTGCAATTTCTTGAATTCATGTTCTTGCATCTTCTTTAATACCTATCTAATTCTGTATCTCTTTGAAATTGGAGATGTTTTAATTTGTGTTTTCTAAAAGCCCAAAACATCCTCAAATTTTCTTTAAGTCGCTTAAATTTTCGACGATTTGGAACGTTTCTTATCAGAAATCACACAGTGTAAAAGCGTAGTGCTCTCCCACAATTTTTATTTTATTCAAAATATTTCTGTTAACACATTATCATCCATGATTAACATTAAAAAGTATAGTAAGAGAAGTACAGTAAGAGAAAATGCAAAAGGAATAATATTTATCAACATTACTTGATATTATTGTTTTCCACTGCCTACTTTAATAAATACATTATTTGTGAATATCTCACGAACGGTTAGTTTTAGGCATTTGGTACTAAAACTTGTTAAAAGACAATTCAACAACGAATCCAAAAGTGGTAAAATATACAGGGTGTTTCATTAAAAAAAATAAAGTTGATGTGATTTCCGGTGAAACAGAAAACAGCATTAATTTAGCATCTATCCCAAACGATAGATGACAAAAAATGTTCAACTTTGTTCTAAGAAGTATTGTCATAACTTTAAAAATAATGGAGTTATGGCTTGGGGCGTTTTTCATAATACAGCCTGTATATACATATATGATATACTTTCAGGTATTTATTGGATTTTAAAAATAATCATTTTTCAAGTTGTTTTAAAAAGTAGGCATTAAAATAGCACTAATGACAGTTTTTCATTTCAGATTTTTTTACTTTCTCCGGTAATCTCATAAACTTCATGAACCCCTCATAAAATCTCGTACATTTTTGATAATTTCAAAACATTCTTAATATGAAGTAGTCATTGTCATTACTTATTTAGTGACATAATAGGCATTTAAAAAAATAAATTAAGAAAAAAATAGTATTATTTGAACAAAGAAAAATAACAACAAATAATGAAAACAAAAGCAAACTAAATAATACGTACGATAGCTAACAAAAGTTATTATTTTTTGTAATAATATGCTTGAAAGCAGTTTTTCTGTTTGCCTTAACAAAAAGACACTCTACAAGTTACACACTGCCAATTACTTCGAGATTCTTGTTGCTTGGTTGTTGAAAAAATTCAATGACACCATTTATTACTTTTTCAATTGAGTACAGTGACGGACTGTGAATTTTGTCCAACCAATTTCCATGACAGACTAAAAGTGTAAATTAGTCTTTAGGTTTTTCTAACCTTGTTTGAGAACTTTGATGAACATTCCTTACATACTTTTTACCTGAGCTTTATCTTACATTGCTTGAGGTATAGTACCAATCCATTTTTAGATTGGAAATCCGGTCCAAAATGAATAAGAATTTAATTAAACTTGACAGTGTCAGTTATCATGACAATAAAGCACAGACTACAGTGAATTTTTGTGAATTCACAGAAATTGAGTGGACGAAATGCACTGGCCATCATCAACTGATCAAATTTATCAACAAAGTTCATGTTATTGTTGTAATTTTCCACAACATCAGGACATACCACTCATATCTCAAAAAACTAAGAATAATACGAAATACAGTTAGTAAAAATGCAAAATTTTTATCAATGTAATGTTAAGCGAAAGTGGTTACCTAAATAGGCTGGAAATGCTCAACATGAAGCCTACTAGTCGAAATAGGAAAGTATTTGCCTAATTCTAATCCCAATGAACGAAATTTTTTTTGTTTTGTTTTTTTCCTCTTTGTATTTATAACAATCATTATCCATTATGTGTATATTCTCAAAAAACAATTCAATTTTTTTAAGTTAAAATAAGTATAAAAATGTAGGTATTTCAAATGATTTCAAATTCATTCTTTGTAAATAAAAAAATGTGGTAAACTCTACAAGAATAATATCTGTATTATTAAAAACATTACCATTAATGCGCAAAACTGGTCAAAAATATAAATTAAGGTGAGTTAAATTTTAACCCACCGTCCTTGAAAGAGTTAATAAAGATGAATCCTGGCTTACTTTGATTAAAGCGTTTGTATGGTCGACTCTACGTTTCCTACAGCGTGCTGCTGCAGCTTTATTTCGTTCTCTTCGGATGCGTCTTCTTTCTTCCTCTTCCGGACTAATGTTGAGATCTCGAGCGGGCTTCCTCCCCCCCATGTTACGCCTTGTTTGTGGTGTATTATTAATAAGACTAGTTTTTTGGGTCAGGGGTGGTGTCGACCTGGTGTTTGAATCAGAACTAGATTGAGATAGAGAATTTTGCCACATCGTTTGTGACTTGGATGAGTAGATATCAGCATCCGATGCTGAGATATACTGATTGTTTCCTTCAAAAAAAAAAAAAACATTAGTTGTGAATTTGATGTTGTTTTGGTTGCAAATACCTATAGAATGAACTAGAGGTGGGACAAAACCGGCTTCGTTTTCGTGAGATTCCGGCTTCGTCTGCAATTCTATAAAGGTTTGCTCGATACTTCGAAGAGTTGTCGGAGTTAAAGTAGGGGTTGTTCGAGTTGGTACTCCCGAATTGATGCCTTCTAGAGCTATAAACTGCAAGAGAAAAAAAACACTGCCAATAAGTTTGGAAAACAACAGTAAACGCTTGCTCGCCATTTGTTGACGTTATTTAGTCAGGTTTAAAAATAGAAATTTAAACTAGGAAATGACTCTTGCAAGGTAAGTTAAAAAAGTTAGTACGGGGGTAACACACAAATACCTGCTGGTAAAATAACTCCTGTGCGAGAAAATTAGCAATCTCTCTTTGGTCTAAATAGGCCATTTTGAGTACCACACGAAAATCGATTAAAAAGAAAATTAAAAGAAAATTGTTGATATTCGAATATCGTTGCTATCGGAATCGTTCGTTCGAAAAATTGACTGCTGAGCTTTTGCGTTACCCGAGGCTCAGCTAGTCGAAGAATGAATTTGCCAAGCGGGAATTTTGGTTTGTCGCCCACCTCTGCTTTATTTAGATCGAGGTAGCTTTAAGTTCGCATTAACTACTTTGCATTTATTTATATCACGAGGATTTCATTGTTTTATTACGCGTTATCGGACAACTTCCTCCACTTTTTTCATCGATCAACGAACCGATTTTTACAATTTCCTTTTACGGACAACCTTGCCAATTTGTACCTATATGTGTCTAAATATTTAGCAATAGTTCGAGTATTGATAACTTATCAGCTTCTGGAAAAATCCATCAGTTAATTAATTATACTCCCAAAACCGCGTTTTTTTAAACCGCTCCGGCGCCAACTTCCGTTTTAAACACCAAGGCATGCGGTTAATCAACCTAAATTAGCAGCAGCGAAAAAACTCTTGTTTTACTTTGGTCAAAGTTTGGGGACAAAGGGCATTGACAATTTCACACTGCAACAGCAGTTTCAAGGTTGTGCACATTTTGGCACAATTTCAAAAAAAAAGTACGCACTGGACGTTGATTAATGTCGTTCGTTGGCAAGTTAATTTGAAACGTGTGTGAGGATATCTATACGTTTGTTACTCAATAGTTTTTCCAGAGTATAGAACCCAAACAATGAGGATTTGTTGCCTGTATTAATGTCCGACTATCCTCGCAGATAAGACGATAAAATTCTTGCAAAATTTTATACCGTACATACATAAAAATTTAATTTATAACAGGAATGAGGGCTATAAAAAATTTTACAGTTACGTGCCTGGATTAAAATGACGTCAAATTTACACTTCTATATTCGGACGTGACGCTTACAACTTTCTTATTATGAACAATTTAACAAATTATTTACTATTGGTGACGTTAAACATGACACAAGTTGGAGAATTTACATGGTATAAAGGTCGCAACATCACCTTGAAGGATGTGGGCGCCACAACTAAATCGACTAATTTTTTCGGGACAAAATACATTGTTCTCAATACCATTTACGTAACTTTTACTATTCGAAGGTAGCTTAAATATTTAAAAATAAACGATGATTGAATTTGTGTGATTGAAGAATTTCCGTTTTAGCTCATGCAATAATTGGCACTTTTAACGCACCTAATTAATTACATCGCCGCAAAACATCAACAAAGTCAGGTTTTTGATTAATTCTCACGAATTGATTGTCACAAAGCATTGTCGAATTATTAAAAAAAAAAATTATGCTTGCGTTTAATTCAATCTCTCATCAAAGTGGCCTGTGTCGTTGGAATCAAGCTGGCAACATGTTACCAATAATTTTTTTGGCGGTACACTCACTAGGTGAAGTCTCGTATACAGGGCTGTTCGTTTTTCGAGCTCCACCACGGGGATCTCAGTTATTATAAGAGATACGAGGTCGGTTAAATTAGGGCAAAATTTCTGAACAATAATCTGAAAGAAAATTTATTTTTAGTTTTTGAATTATTGGTAAAAAACGGAAATTTATAACTTTTGTTTTTATTTTTTCAAGCAAAAACTAAAAGACGTTTTTTTAACTAAGATATTTTTAAGGCACTTTTTACAAGGAATCTAAATCTGTTATCGTATTTTCCAAGACGCTCTTGATATGAAAGTTATAACACTCAACTTTGAATTTTCTTATGGACGCCATATTTGATTTCTGTATTTTTTAAAAGTATTTTTGTTCCAGATTACAACGATGTATCACACAATATGATCAGATTTTACATGCTGATCAAAATTTAAAAAAGCGTTTTTGAGAAGTGTTTTGGAAAAAACACCAACAATTTTAATTAACAAACTAGATTTTGACGGTTCAGTTGACTTTGGAGCTTACCTTTTTAAAAACTAAGATTTTGAAATAGGAACAAAGTGATAAACTAGAATTTATTCTTTGCAAAACAAAACAACACAAAGTTATAAAAGAAGCTCAGAATTTAGTTTGTTAATTAAAATTGTTGCCGTTTTTTTCCAAAGCACTGTGATACATCGTTGTAATCAAAAACAAAAAGGCTTTTCAAAAATACAGAAATCAAATATGGCGTCCATAAGAAAATCCAAAGTTGAGTGTTGTAACTCTGATATCAAGAGCGCCTTGGAAAATAGAATGACAGATTTAGATTCCTTGTAAGAAAGTGCCTTAAGAACGTCCTAGTTAAAAACGTCTAGGTCTTTTAGTTTTCGCTTAAAAAAATAGAAACGAAAATTACAAATTTCCGGTTTTTTTCCAATAATTCAAAAACTAAAAGTGACACATACAATTTTCTTTCAGATTATTGTTTAGCATATAAATGCACAACTTTGCCCTAATTTAACCGACATCGTATCTCTTATAATAACTGAGATCCCTATGGTGGAGCTCGAGAAACGAACACCCTGTATACCGGGTGATTAAATTGATTTTAAAGTCACATGTATGTCACATGGTATGTTGACTTATTTAGTTTTGTACAGACATTGTTCTATTTTCTTATTTCATTATTGGATTTTGGACCATTTAGTTAAGTAAAATCTAGTAGAAAAAGCAAAAAATCTGATAATACGTGCGTGTTTTAATGTGGAATCAGTTCTATTGCAACTGTTGTGTAAATCATTGCCTTTTTTATTTTTTCAAAGCCTCTTTGTGCTCTTAACTACACTTGTCGTGAATTATTTCTTCGTTGTAAAAATAGTCTAGCAAGAATGTTGGGTATTTGTATAAATAAATTTAATTAAGTCTGTCCTTGTCTCTCTAATCGGCATTTGTGTTTGAAATACGTTTTCAGTATTACAAATCCATTCATAAACCGCCTGTTGCATTCTTCGAGCGAAGAATGACTAAGAGTTCTTCGTAGAACTTGTCGGGCAAAAATTTTCTCATAGTAGCCTTCTGACGACCTTCAGAGTAGTCAGAAGAGAAAAGGGTGATGATGGGCGAGGAGGCTGTGCCCCCTTCATCTCCAGACAAAGTGAGGAGGCGGAGTCTTTAATAGGGGTCACCTGGACAGGACCCACACCGTCGATGACTCAGACGGCGGTAGTCGGAAATGCTTTACATACCGATACTAAACGCTACTCTTTAACGAGACGCAACACGTGTTCTTGACGTTAAAATCCAACATTTTTTTCGCTTTTACATCAAATACGAACATTATCCCAAAGTAAATAGGCGTTTACTAAAAACAAATAGCACGACTTGTTTGCCGAACCAACAACAAATAAAACTTTATCTTAATGGTAATGGTTCTAAAGCGGCTTTGGCACCTATTTATAGATCAATAACAATCGATTATGAATTTTCTAATTGGAAATGAAACGATTTAAAAGCGTGCAAAAGCAAAGTAAATAAATAAATTACATGATCCTTGAATAACAAATGTGGGAATTGCGATTGCAATAAAAAACGCTCTTCTAAGTATAATGTTGTACAAGAATGGAATACGGGGTCATCAACAAAGTTAAAAATCATAGCGGGCCTTGACAGGGTGAACAAACGACTAACTATATTCTCAGAGAAAAAAAAACGCCTCAACAGCCTACTCGTGGATTTTCCGCTGTACTTTATCGTTGAGGTTTTCCCGGTCCGATGTATTTGCGCAGGAAAATTACTTCCAAACCGGATACTTTCAACATTCCCCTTTTAAAACGGCATTTCCGGAACAAACATTCGATGCGTGACCGAAAAACAAAAAATCAGACATTTACCTTTTCTCCTTCAATCTAGAAATAAAAATCCAGTGTACCAACATAGAAAAACTAACCACACACAAACTTGACAGAAAAACAAAGCAAGTGCGTATAAAAGATAATCATGCGCGTCCGCCGACTGTCAGAACACTACCATCAAATAGTTGAAATTGTTTTCCTTGTGTCAGATAGTGATAACTCACATGACTTTGACGTCACGGCCTTCCATAAACGACAGTCCTCTGTTTGAAATCGAACGTTGTGATTGGTCGACGGTGTCTTGCACCACGTTGTGAATTTAAACGTGCGCAGACCGGCACCAACCTGTTGAAGAAAAAAAAAAACTTTGTCCGAGACTTGAAGTAGGCCCCGTTATTGATTGTGTTTTGGCCAAAGGTTGGACGATTATCACCACAAATATTTAAATAAATAAAAGTTTTTTATCTTTGTTAAATTGAGGTAGGGCTTTGAACCTGACACCAACCCACACACTAACAGAATACACAAAACAATTTACATTGAAAGGCTAATTATCCGAGAGGCGATAAACAGGTTCATATTGAACCAGCGATTCGCAATAACAAAAGTACGACCACCGAAAAAGGAAACGTATTATTTCTTTTTCCAAAAAGGTTTGATAAACATTCACTGATAACTGCGATAAGGTCTGAGTTGCATCAGGTAAAATCTAGTTAGTGGTGACCATGACTGACAGAAAAATTGACAGATGCGACCTAGTTTTTGACAATTGATGACAGCGAGTAAATCAATCAAAGAGTTACGTTTTGTTTGTCATGGCCATCTGCGGCACAATAAAAAAGTGTGAATTGGTTAAAATTTTTGGAAATTGCGTAAGATCTTTCTAGAATCGCCGCGACCTGAATATTCTTGTCCGAAAATCAACCAAGGCAATAAGTCTGGTAAATTGGAGAAAGTGTACCCAACAGACGATGATAACGGAATGACGCATTTGTGA